AATGAACATTATTCCAGATTTAATGGCTCAAATGTGTATTTATCAATGTACTTCACTGACATTTTGAAGGATTTTTTTAGTTCACTGAATTTGCTTTCTGTAATATACAAAATAGTTGAGCTAGACTGTAAATATATAAATCTAATCTGAAATTTGTTTGAAAGTAAATGCTTTGCTCCTTCTCCCTTATCCCCCAGTCAATGACACACTTGATGACATCTTTGACGGTTCTGATGATGAAGAAGAAAGCCAGGATATTGTGAATCAAGTTCTTGATGAAATTGGAATTGAAATTTCTGGAAAGGTATGAACATCATCTTTTCTTAGTTGGAAATAGTTTCTACCTACCACCTTTGTCACTTAATTGTTTTGTTTTTACTGTTAGGTACATGTTTTTTATTTCTGTTTCAAAAGTAAATTAAAGAGACCTCTGTACAGCACATCCTGTTATGTCCTAGTCCAAATGTTTGCTAATGCACGTTTTTGTTTTTCTTTGTTTAATATAGATGGCCAAAGCTCCATCAGCTGCGGGGAGCTTACCATCTGCCTCTACTTCAAAGGCTACAATCTCAGATGAAGAGATTGAACGGCAACTCAAGGCTTTAGGAGTAGATTAGTCAAAAAAAGTCATAATATTTTGCTTACTTATAATTATGTAGTATAAACCAAGCACAGTGCAGATTTCTTTTACAAAACACATGTATTTTGCGGAAAAAAAAAAATGGAGACTGTGAGTGAACAGTTGTTTCCTAACCCATGGCTATTTTGAATCTTTTGCCAAAGAATGACAATGATGCAAAAATGGAAACAGTTTGGATTTTAATTAGAACTATTTAGGAGTGATGATGTGTAAAAAGTTGACTTCTCTTTTGCATGGCACAGAGAAATTATATTCCTTACTTCATGTCAGTTTATGTTCTAAATCTTTTTCACTGAATATAAAAATCTTGTTAAATGCCGTTAGGCACCAACTTAAAGAGGGTTGTAAAAATATTAAAAGTATATCATTAATTCTGTATCTGTTGCTTGTCTTTTGTAAGTGATTATGTGTTATGACCATAGGCAGTTACAGCTGCCAAATTATTTTTAAATGGTCAAAAAGAAGAGTGCTATTTAAACATCTGTCTTAAACAAAAACTGTCATAGCTTTTCTTTTTCTTTTTCCGTTGGGAGAACATTCTAGTTGGTAAGTTTATTACCTTTCAAAATGTGCTTGGCACCTGCCTTAAATAGCACAGATCTATTGTGCACATCTTTAAATTATTTCAGCTGGCAGAAAAGAATTACATTTAAAACCGAAAGCAAGGCCTCACTACAAAGATTATCCTGGCTTTTTCCTATCTCTGGGCCTAATTGAAATACGTACTCTTATTTTAGACACTCCTCTCTTAAAACAGACCAGGTTTTCCTGGTCTCGGAAGAGACCTATGATGACTTGTCCCTTTGATGCCATTACTGTGCATTGAATATAATTAGTAAAAATAGACAATGAATAAATAACACTTTATAGTAAGTAAACAATATATTTTGGCCATCTACAAAGTGAGGATTATAATTATATGAATTATAATTTAAACTTTAATTTTGTTGAATGTGTATATTGAATCTTCTAAATTGAAGCCATTATTCTCAATTAAGTACTACAACTATGACAATGCTTGACCTACATTTTTAAAATATTTCTTTTTTTGATAAATAAACTACAATTTTACCAGAAATTACCGTCTAAATGTGTATTAGCAGTATTTTTTAAGGTGAAATTGCCATGGTATCTAATGAATGTGTAGACAGAGAGAGAAAATGAAGGAGTGCCAGACTAGTTAGAATAGAAGTTAGGATTAGGTTAGTTTTGAAAAACGATGTTGTAATATATGGGTTCTAACACATCCTACCATGAAAACTGGAGGAGATATGTATAACCTGGTTAATTTGGGATGGTGGACATTTTGGGCTAATACTGACAAAATACATCTTAGGACTACTATACATGTGACACGGATTGCTAGGAGGAACGAAAAACTAAACTGTATAGTTTATATTCCGTAAACCATTTTATAATGTTCAAAGATTAGGTTTCGTTATTGGTAGTATTAAATACACAGTTTCTCTTAACAGTGATGGGTCAAAACATTTTACTGGATAATGGAATGTTTACCAGAACATGTTTTGATTCTTGGATGTACATAATAATGCCATCTAACTTATTTACTTTCTTGTTTACATGTGGGAGCTTTTGTTTTTAAAAATTATTTTGTTAAAAAATCTCAATAAAGATTTATGATTGTTGTCCTTTTCTTACCTTTTTTGCTCTTTTTGGTTGCTGCTAAAATTAAAAATTTTATTCTTATTTAGTAATTTTTCAAAAGAATGATCTTTATTATTTTCCCAGAAGAACAATTAGATAAACTCTGCCAATTACATTAAAAAAAAAAAAAATCTTTTTAAGAAATAATTGTACACGAGACTAATGTTTGTGAATGTAATAAGCCTAAGATTTGGTGGTTTCACATTAATAATTTTTTCTCAATATTCTCAGGGATTGAACATTTTTAAGTTTTATTTTTGAACATGTAAGTCCTAGTGACTTATTTCGTTTCAGTCAAACATGGACACCACAAAAGAATTTGCACATAAAAGACAGCTCGTCTGATTTGGCTACGTTTATAAAGTGTTGTGGTGGTAGTTTTCACAATCACTGTCACTATAAATTTGTAATGTTACCCTATCCTTTGCTAAAAAGAAAACAGTTACTTTTGAGCCCTTAAGGAATAAGAAATAAGGGCTTGGTTCTTATAGCTTGAGCTTAATAAAAATACTGGGTTTTTTTTGCTTTTTTTTTTTTTAACCTGCTTTTTCTAACTTTTCTTTAGGCACACAAAAAAATTTAACAATTGTAATCAAACAAGAGGTTGCCATAGAAAGAATAGAAGAGTATCTCTGTTACTGAAAAGGATACAGCCCAAAGCCACATTTTGCTACCAAATGAAAAAGTTATTTATGGGGGAAATTTCAGAGTACCAGAGAAGTAGAATGTGTTACAAAAATGTCAATACTAATGATAACACCTGTTAGAAAACATAAAATGATCATCTGTCAGATGATTATGTTGCACACACTGTACTGTGTGCTCTGAGGGGAGTATCTGGTTATTGCAAGAGCTAATGGAAAGGGGCTCAAGATTGTGACCCTATGGAACAGAGAGAGGAAGCTGTCAGCCTATGGGCTTTACGTTGTTTGACTTGCACAGGGATGTATATTTTACTATTTGCATTTGAATGTCTTCAGAAAAAACCTGGTACTCTCTTTTTGGCCAAAATGCATTTCCTACCATCCTAGTTGCCATACTTCTCACCTGATCTCTGTGGGCCTAGTTGAAATAGGTACTCTTATTTTAGACACTCCTCTGTTAAAACAGGAGTTTTAACATGTTAAAACAGACCAGGTTTTCCTGGTCTCAAAAGAGACCTGTGATGACTTGTCCCTTTGATGCCATTACTGTGCATGAAAAGGTGTTGGCAACTTCAGAAACAGATCAACCTTCCAATTTCCTCTCTGTAGAAGGTGAGGATTCAAAACCATTCTAAGCTTAGTTGTTTTAGTAGTCAGCTGGATTGGTGTTGCCCTAGAGGAAGCCTGAAGATTGTGAAGCCAGATTTCAGGTTCCCTATTGTTGGAACACCACATTCCCCCAACAATTTGAAAATACACACATCCCCCAACCATCCCCAAACACTGAAAATATTTCTTTGACTGGACAAATCCTTTCCACCTTTAGAGATGGAAAGGTAAATTGTATGAATGAGTTTATCAGCTACCTTTACTAGGTAAAGCTGAATGTACCAAACTAGTAGAAATGACAAACATCTTTCTTCCATTTTAATGGACAACTCTACTGAATTCCTGAAGACTTCAAGAGCTCACAAATATATAAGAGGGAAAGACTATGGCTAAAGTCAGCCTTTGTCATTTATTCCCCAAAGTATGAACATACCAGTCTACACAGGGAATTATATGTCATTTGTTTAATTGAGGTTTAGCATCTAAATGGCATTAACCATTTTCTGTTCTGAAAATTAATCAAAATATATTAAAGTATTATTTTAATGTAGTTAGAAAGTAGTCTCAATACAAATGAGTTTTGTATAATACAAAACAATACAAATGAGTTACTGGTACTTACTGGTTGGGAAGGCCTCAGGAAACTTAAAATCATGGTGGAAGGTACCTCTTTGCAGAGCGGCAGGAGAGCGAATGAGAGCCCACCTAAGGGGAAAGCCCCTGATAAGACCATCAGATCTCATGAGAACTAACTATTGTAAGAACAGGATGCGGGAAATCGTCCCCCTAATCTTCACTTGGTCCTTCCCACCACACGTGGGGATTATGGGAACTACAATTCAAGATGAGATTTGGGTAGGACACAGCCAAACCATATCAGTTAGCAAAGAATTGCTATTTCACTGGGCACAGTGGTTCATGCCTGTAATTCCAGCACTTTGGGAGGCTGAGGAGGGAGGATCACTTAGGTCTAGGAGTTCAAGATCAGGCTGGGCAACATAGGGAGACCCCCCGTCTCTACAAAAATTTTGAACATAACCAGGCATGGTAGCGTGGCAACTGTAGTCCCAGCTACTCAGGAGGCTGAGGTGGAGAGGCCAGGAGACTGAGGCTGCAGTGAACAATAATCATGCCACTGTACTCCAGCCTGGGTGACAGAGTGAGATTCCGTCTCAATAATAATAATAATAATAATAATTTGCTATTTCAATAGTAAGTATTAAAATAATTTATTTTAGGGAAAAACATAGTTCCCAATACTGGTAGTGTCTAAACTTGAAAAGAATAACCTTATGGATGGATGTTTAATGATACTGATTATGATCTAAAATATATTGATGATGTAAGCATATATACATGCTTATTTTTGTTACATAAAGAGTAAACATTACCAGAGGAATCATATTTAAAATGCAAAACAATCACTAATCTAGATTTATACTGCATGACGTTTTATTTCTATTTGCAAGTTTCAAAGTGCATATATACATTTTTGCATATATACATATACATGTATGTATACATGATCTGGCTTTTAGCAAACTAAAGAATTCCTTCCCCAGTTAATGTGTTTTAAGTAGGCGAAGAAATATTGAGTTATCCAGAGAAGGAACTTGAATGGCTGTGTGGCTGAATAATTTGGAATTTACTCTTAAATAAGAATGTTGTATTTCATATCTTTTGGATGCTAAATGTGTGCTTAAGCATGGATGATTAGGCCACTGAAAGCTGTTTTGTTAGTTAAATGTCTATCTTTGTTAGTAATATATCAAATTTTACCCATCCAATTGATGGTGATTATGTATGAACATACATATATAGTCTATGTAGATTATGACCTATAAAAATACTGGGTCTTTAATAATATCATAAAAAGAGACTGGACAGTATCATTTATTTTCTAAGCATTCTAATTCAACAATAAAATTTGGTCTAATTGTTACCACTTTTGTTATATTAAAATAAGTTAGATAAACATAGCCAGCAGATTTACATTCCAAATGTAAAAAAAAGTCACTATTCTAAGTTAATATCACATTACAGTTTGCTTCTACTAGCATGTTTCAAGGTAATGCATTCTTAAAATTTAAATAAATATGTCCTTTTCGATACAATTCTCAGAATTAAAATTAAAATCTCAATATGTCAAACATTTTTACAAATAGTAAATCAGATTCTAATCAATTATACCAAAAGTGATCATGTCTTGTTATAGAAACCTGGATGATTTTCCAGATTGTGAGATTTCAAAAACATTATAATTTAAAATTAGGTGATGCCGTTCACATTTGTAGCTATTGTTAACATTGCACTCCTTCATTTAACAAGTATTGCATGCCTAATATGAGCAAGAACTTTCCCAAGTCCCGGAGAAATAACACCAAACAAGCCAGATCTCTTCCTGTCCCGTTGCAGCTTATAGACTAATGGTTTGAGGCTCAAGGATCCATAAAGCATTCTTTTCTATGGCTACACATCAAAAAGCTAATATTTAGGAAGAATAAAAAGATCAAAAATTAATGTTTCTACAAATCTCTTTTGAAACAGTTCTACTTCAAAGTATCAATTCTGATTGAGGCTTATTCCTTAAAGGTAGTAATAAAACTATAAGACACCTCTGGCTCTAAGTTCAAAACTTTTAGTTCAGACAAACTAGTAGAGTTGGTAGAAAGCAGAACATTGGCTAATTAATTTTCGAATTGGATATTTCTGGCGATGTGCTTTACATATGTGTCATTACTGACTTAAATGTTAAAAAACTAATACACATATTTGGAAAAGGAATCTATAAACTCATATGCACACTCATATGTCAGTGTGTGTGTGTGAGAGAGAGAGAGAAAACAGAGAGAGATCGTTTTATTACTGTTAATATATTTGGCTTAAAATGTATAATCTGGCTTCTGAGAATAATTATTTCAAGTAAATAACATCACTATAATTTAAATTGTTGGTTTCTTTTTTTTAAAAAAGTGGAAAAGCAATGCTTCTGTAAAAGCTATTGATATAAAATGATTTTAAGTCAACCAAGTAATTTCTGTTTTTCTTGAGGAAGAGAAAGGAATGAAACAGGAAAAAAAGGCTATTATACAGTAGAAAAATCTTATCTGCACTCAAGATGCTCCTTAGAAATAGAAAATAAACTCTGATTCAGACTTGTTTTCACCCGTTTTTCTCTTTGCCTCCGGTTGCAAAACCAAACTCTTACTACTTCTTTCTCCAGATTCAGTTCTTCAGCCATCCGCATGATCTCTTGAGAAGAAGGTTTATTCTGTTCTCCAAAGTGTCGCTCCAGAGCATCTTTAGCAGCAATGCTGGGGTGGGGTGGACATAAGGGGTGAAATTATGTTGTTTTTAGTGAAGTTTGTGGCAGATCAAAATTAAGGTAGGTTGAATTTCCTAAATATTAACATGAAAAGGAAACGAAAAACTCTGAACATACTTGCAAGACACTTTACAAGGAAAAATGTATAGTTTGTTAAATGTGTAGATGTTTGGTCTTATGCAAGGTAGAGTTGCACCAGAGTCACAGAAAGAATTAAGTAAGGGACCCAGGCTTTCTATGTGTATCCCACTTTGTGCCACCAGAGGGCACTGAGTTCATGAAAAGAAAATGAACATTTTCCTAGACATTTCTAAGTATCTCCCCAAAATCATTTAGGGCTGTTTTCAATAAAGATAATCTCTAGTGAACAACCGACCAACCAAAACAAAATCTGTCTTTTAGTATTTCCTAAGCATGTCTCACAAAAACTACAAAAAGATCAATGAACAATCTTTCTGGGTTGAAATGCAAGAGGTCATGTTGAACTTTAAGAGACCGAAACACTGATTACTAGTGTCATATTTTTAAATACTACAGACACCGTGGATACTACATTGCCAGAGCAATAAGTTATATCTAAAAGGGCAGAAGATATGGCCACTCTCTTAGAAATGATTGTTTTCTTTCTGTTTGTATTCATAATTTCTGGAGCAAAAGTGTTCTTGAATCAAACAATACATAATTTTCCATCAAATGTTAAAAATTATTAGCTCTCCATTTCTCACAGTTATTACATTATTTTTTTTATAACCCATCCTGTTTCTTCATTAGACTGTATTTACTTTTATTTTATTTTATTTTATTGTTTGAGACAGAGTCTCGCTCTGTTGCCCAGGCTGGAGTGCAGTGGCATGATCTCGGATCACTGCAACCTCCGCCTCCCGGGTTCAAGCCATTCTCCTGCCTCAGCCTCCTGAGTAGCTGGGGTTATAGGCACCCGCCACCATGACCGGCTAAATTTTATATTTTTAGTAGAGACAGAGTTTCACCATGTTGGCCAGACTGGTCTCGGACTCCTGACCTCAGGCCCACCTTGGCCTCCTAATTCGCCTTACATTTCTATGTTATGTTACACCTGCATTACACTCAAATGCTCATTCCATTTATAAAATACCAGTCTTGTCCTCAGGAACTTTTAATATAAAGAATACCTTATAGTTGTTCTTCGTTTTCTTTTCCTTTCATTTGCTCCCACTTTTTCATTGTACAAAGCTATAATGTGGAAAAGAGAGATAATTACAAATACAAAGTAGACTCTTTATAAAAAACTATCTGATTTGGATTTCAATTTGTTTTCATAAAACAATGCAAAATAAAAATGCCAGACATTTTTGTCTTAAATGTTTGCAGTCTAAGTCATTTTCTATTACAGACCTTAGTGAAAAATATCAACACAGAAATAAATGTTAACCTCGCAAAGGCACTTTCTACAAATAATATCCTCACTTTACTTTTGTTGGAATGCTTGCTGTAACTACTCTCAAACCTCACTGTTTATCCAGCTCTGACATTTGTATGAGTAGATAATTGTATCTCATTAAGTTGCATATCTAGCAATTGCTTATATTATTTACTTGGAAGACTCGTGTGTGCAAATGTTTTGTGTACACTAATATTAGGATACAAATGTGATTCATATATAATTTCTCTAGTAAAAAAGAGAGGAAAAAAATGGATGTGTAAAAAAATAAGCATTTTACCCCTTCATGCTAATGCCAACTTACCTTGTAAGCTTTCCTTATATAGGTTATTCTCTCCTCAATAAATTTATTTCCATACTTACATTGCCCTTCCTTTTTTGTTGTTGTTTTTAGTGTGATATAACAAAATGTTTGTTTTTCATCTCAAAGAGAAAAGGAGGAAAAAAAAAATCCCTCAAACTTCCTGCTTTAGCATTAATCCTACTGATTGAAGCCATTATTTTTAGGTTAAAACATAGCACTGCCTTCAGAGACACAGTTTAGTACCTCCTACTTGCTCAGCTTCCTCCAGCCATTTGGATAATATTGCTTTCAGTTTGCATGCATTTTTAAAGCTGAGCTGCAGATTTTCAAATCGGCAGATTGTTGTTTGACTGAATTCAGAGCCATGCACAGCTGCCAGGGCCTCCCCAACATTTGTTTGGGTGTATCCTGTGAAGGGACAATAAAGACCATCAGCTCCAACTTTCCAAAAAATGTTAATTTTGGTTCATTGTCACACAAATCTTTGTATCTTTGTCAACTATTACATACTGTTTTTTAACTATATAGTCTTGGCAAATCAGAATTATTTAGTAAGATTCATTATACTTTCAAGTACTTGTCCAATACTTCAAAACATATTTCTTCTAGTTAATAAATTACTTTTATCTACTCACCGAAATAATTCAGATAGAAACATCTGCCATTCATAATATTTAGCCAATGTTTAGGTGTATCCTAAACACTTTATAAGGCACTTGAAAATTACAGCTCTTTTTATCATTATTGTTAAATATCAAATAATATATGCTCAAAAATCTTTAATATATTAACTATAATGCATAAAAGATATGGTTATATATCATAAAATTTTTTATTTCAACTCTAAAAGATTCAATAATATTGTTGAAGGGTACTAAATAAAACTAAGAATTATTCTGCTTTCCCTAAAACCGTGTTTATTAAGAGGTTATGATTACGCATTTCACATATACCTCTGAGCCCGTTTTATAGTTTTTGGTATTGCCTCTATCTTCAGACTAATGATCCTTATTGTTTGTCCGAAACATTTTTAGAGTACAGCTGAAATAATCAACATATAATTTGAAACATTCACAGTAATATAAATAGCAAACTGAAAATGAATTTCACAAAGATTCCTACTACTGTGTTTATTACATGTAATAGCTACATATTATTTCAGGACCTAAGGCTATATACCTATATGTATAAAATGGTTGCATATGATGCCCATCAATAAATATTCTTATTAAATTACCTATGGTTCATTCTGCAAGTGCAGAGTTTTGAACTGTTATTTCAATCCATTAAAAAATATACACAACTTTATGCAATTTAACCAAAGTTAATTGTTATAGTTGTTTTATTTTAAAAACACTTCAATAGAAAATGAGCAAAGACTCTGAACAGACAGTTCACAGAAAAAGAAACTTAAATGATTGTCAAGCACATTAAATAATACACTTTACAATCATAATAAAATAAATTTTAAATGAAGTAGCAGTGAAATGTCACTTTGACCTGTCTGATGTGCAAAGATCTAAAAGATTAACAGCATATTTTTTCCTTCAACCACCATTTATTTATTTTGTGTTCTAGTTACATTCTTCTAGATGCTGGAGATATTATTAAGCAGAAAATAAAAAGAAATAGATTTTAAAAACTCATGCCGTTTTGGAGTCTATATAGCCTGAGGATGTTGAAAAAGATTCTCATGGTGACAGTAAAGTTTGGTACAGCTTCTCTAGAGACCAGTTTGACAACATCTATCAAAATTACCAGTACACATACTTTTGATCAAGCAATTGTGCTTCTAACATTTTTCCTGCACATTTATTTATATAGGTGCAAAATAACATTTATAGGGTTAATCATCGTGGCCTTGTTTCTAACAGTCAAAGATCAGAAACCACCCGAATTTCATCAGGAGAGGACTGGTCAAATAAATTGCAGTATATTCATAAAGTGAAACTTGACAGCTCCACAAAGGAAAAAGAGCTCTAGAAAAATTACTACTGAAAACTTCAAATAATACTTATGTTGGGCACAATACATATATTTGCATATCTATCCATGAGCTATCATTGGAAAGATACACAAAGAACTAACAACAATGATAAACAGAAAAAACAAGCAGAAGGATACATGTCACTTATACTCTTTTGTACTTTTGAATCATATAAAAGTATGGCCTCACACATTTCACTACATATTAATATATCAATATGTATGGTTCAAATAAAATATAGATAAAAATGGGCACTTCGAAACTAAAGTTGAGGTGGGTAAGTTTTGAAAGAGTATTATTAATTTAAAAATTATGTATTTAGGCTCTTAAGAAATTATCAGTAAACAAAAGTTTTTGGAGGATTTCCATAGCAATTAACTACGTCCACAGTAGAGATGAAGAATGACAATCATCTTATACGTTTGAGTAACATATAAGAGATTTAACAGCAATAAAGATTTGCAAACCAAGCTCTTTTTCCTGTTGCCTTTAACAAGCACATACCTAACTTAATTCTTCTCACTTTAAATTCGTTGGCAAACTTTTCGAGTTCTCTGATTTCTGGAGAATCCATGTCTATTGGCTCTTCCACCAATTTACTTTTCCGCCTGAGTTCCTGCTTGAAATCAGCAGCTGTGGGGTCCTCTGCCAGGAGAGGCTGGTGTATAGGAGGAAATCCATGACTCAAAGTGTGGTCAGGAAATTTATAAAGACAAGGGGTTAAACTACCTGTGAGTAAACAAAGAAATAAAATGAAAAAGACCAATTGTAATTCTTCCTTATTTCTGTATAAGAAAGGATTTTGCCTGATTTAGCCCATTATTCTGCTCTAGCCTGTCTCAGTACTTAAAAGGTTACCTTACATATAGTCTTCTGAAGAAGGAGTCAAAGCAGCTTAGTAGAATTGAGATTATTTATCTTCTACCTTCTCCAGAGCAGCAACACCAAAGGTAGGGTTAAAGGAAAGAAGCAGGGGACTGCGAATAACTAAAATAGAAACAAACAACTTCTCTCGGAAGTGTACATTTTCTATCATGTTTTTCTTTTAAATGACACCTATTCCTGGGAATCTGAGGTTGAACTCTAACCAGAATCTATGCATGGAACTCTGTTTTCTTAATTCATTGAACAAATAATGGGTGATGTTTGTTGTAATCATGGCACTAAATGCTTCAGCTAAGTGCTATGCTGAGAAGTTTTCTTGTGATTGGGAAATTGATTTCACAATATAAAAATGCCCCCCTATTTAATCAGTAAAAACTTGATTTTATTAGGAAAAATCACATCTTTTTTAATTAAATGAAGGCAGGCAGAAAAAGAATGATAAGAATATAAAATATATTAATGTGGCTAAATAGGCTTGAGGAATGATTAAATATTAACAAAAGGTAACCTCAAAAGTTCTATTAAAAAGTCACTAACAAGATTTCTTGAAAAATATACAATATAATAGAATAATTTCTTGATTATTATTTAAGGAAAAGCAAAAATAAGCAGCAAGAAAGTTTGCAACTTTATATATGATAAGTAATTACCCATAAATGATAAAGCATTGACTCTATTGAGTGGATACGTTAAATCACAAAAAATGTAAAAAGGTCTGAAATTATTATATAATTGCTTCCAGACTTCCTTCTTCATTGGAAGAGTCTATCTCAGTTGGGAAGTATAGGTGAGAGAGTCGTATATAAGCCAAATTCCAACACATTTTGTTTCTTGTTTTCTTTATCAATGCATTACAAGTTTTATCGACGAAGATTTTACTTTAATTTATATTAAATGACATGTCTAGTGTGCCTTCTGTATCCATGGGTTCTGCATTCATGGATTGATGCAACAGTGGATTAAATACATTTAAAAAATAAAGTAAAAAATAACAACACAAGAATAAAAATGATACAAATAACCCAGTATAGTATAAGAATTATTTACATAGCATTTGCATTGATTTAGATATTATAAGTAATCTAGAGATGATTTAAAGTAGAGAATGTGCCTAGATTATTTGCAAATACTACACCATTTTATACCAGGGACTTGAGCATCCAAAGATTTCAGTATCCTTGGGGGTCCTGGAACCAATGTGCCACATATATAGAAGGATGATTGTGTAAGCAAGACATTTTTATACAAAAATATTGAGTAATTAATCCTTTTCTTATAAGTATAAATATTTTAAAATAAATTACTATGGAATACATGCAATAATGATTCTTAGAAACTTACTGAAAAAATGCATCCAGAGTTCATGCCACCTATAATTACTCTACACATACATTCCCAAGTCAAAGACATGAGTAATAGTATATTTTCCAGAATACATAAATCTTACATTAATATATCAATATGTAATGAGCAAAGAATACTGCAACTCAGCAAATTGTTGGTTTATATTATTTATATAAAAATATGTAATTATAAAGTGCACCCCATCTAAAAGGGCATATTATTTTTCTAAAACAAAGTAAACATATAAATGAGAGGTTAAACAAATCAGCATAAAATAAATTTGTCTGCTTTAAAGCTGGGAAAAAGATGTGAAAGAAACTATTTTTGTCTTTAAAAAATTCCTGCTACTTTTCCAAACTAAAATTATCCAGGTTTACTTTTGTAAAAGTCAGTCAACTATCCAGTGTATGCTTTATTGTGTGGCGTCTTGATCAGACCAGAGAACATTCTTAAAAACAATTTGACCAACTTTCCTTTTATTATATAGCTTTTCTTCAAAATGTTTATTGCTGTGGGGTTCATTTTTAGCTTTTTATTAATTTTAGTTTTCTGCTAAATTAAAAGAAGGACTAATAGATGTAAAAAGAAAACTGATGACATTTATGTTAGCATCTATTTAATCTGATATTTATCTGAAGAGTTGTTTTGTGCTTATACTTTCAGAATTGATTTGCACATATATTTATAAAACTTTCACTTCTTTTATTATTAAGGTCCATCAGGTATCACTTAATACATTTAATGATAAAATACCCTGAGAAAGAGTACAAAGAAAAGCCAGGCTACTGTTAGATTTTGTACATTTAACATATTTTAAGACACTTTAGATGACTCATTTAACCTATGTCAAATTATGTTTATTTTATATAAACAATTTGTGTGTTTTTTACATATGCATACTATAAGGTCTGAATTTGTTATCAAATTTTATTATTATTTTCAATTTCTCTTGCTGATCATAATCATGTACTGCTACAAATCTTCTATGCAACACTTTGTGTTGCGTTAATTTCACATTTGTCATCATCTTTGTCTTTATACAAAAAAAAAGAAAATGAGTCAGGAAAGATATATGTTTTTCCCCATAATTTACAATGTAGAAAATTTAAGTAGAAAGAAATTAAACAACTTGCCTTCAGTGCCCAACGAATTAACTTTGCAGTTTAAACCAGAACTAAAGTCTAATGAGCATTGCAGCAAGCCACATCAAAATCATTGCCTGGTTCATTTTCCAGGCAGTTTATACTCACTAAATTCAATAACTTCCCTTTAAAAGGTTTTCTCTGCATTTAAACACCTTTGGCTATTTTAAACAAATGCTTTTAGACAAAAAATATTACAATAAAATGTATATAAAGTGTGTCATCCCTATTTCCATAAATTTATTTATTTATTTATTTATTTTTGCTTATTTATTCTTTATTTTTAGAGATGGGGTCTTACTCTGTCTCCTAAATTGGAGTGCAGTGGTAAAATCATAGCTCACTGCAGTCTCAAATTCCTGCCCCAAGCCATCCTGCCACCTCAGCATCCTAAGTAGTATCTACAGGCATGCGCCACCGTGCTCATCTAATTTTTTAAATTTTTTGCAGAGATGGGATCTCACTGTGTTGCCCAGGCTGGTCTCAAACTCCTGGCTTCCAGCAATGCTCCCACCAAAGCTTCCTAAAGTGCTAGGATTATAGGTATAAGCCACAGAACCCAGCCACAAAAATTGAAAGGTGGTTTGTACATTGTAAGTACTCTGGTGAAGTGGACACACAGAAGACAAATTTGAATGGAATCCATGAAAAGTACACAGAAAATACCATTCTCCAAGGTTTGGCTCCAGAACAAGAAGCAAAATGTGATGTGTGATACAATTTTTCTTTTTTTTTTTTGGAGACAGCGTCTTGCTCTTGTTCCCCGGGCTGGAGTGCAGTGGTGCCATCTCAGCTTACTGCAACCTCTGCCTCCTAGCTTCAAGCAATTCTCCTGCCTCAGCCTCCTGAGTAGCTTGGACTACAGGCGCCTGCCACCACGCCTGGCTAATTTTTGTATCTATTTATTTTTTTATGTATAATTTTATTTATAATTTTTTGTTTAGAGACAGGGTTTCACCATTTTGGCCAGGCTGGTCTCAAACCCCTAACCTCAGATGATCCACCTGCTTCGGCCTCCCAAAGTGCTGGGATTACAGTTATGAGCTACTGCACCCGGCCCACTTTTATTTTTCATTATATGAAAATATCTACAATTATCTGCAAGGTCACAGATTTCCTGGAACTAACTTCACACAGAATTTCATCATAACCATTTAAAAGAACAGCCAAATGAACTTCTGTTTCTAGCATCTGAGCCTGCATTTGAGGGAGTGTGGAAAGTGATTGGGATGATACGTATAGCAATATATGTTTCAAATCTTTTTAAAACCTAGATTACTGAAAAAGGTGGAAATAAGATGAAAGATGTGGTGAGTCATGTGCAACAGAGGTCTCATCAACATTTTCTGAAACATGGATAAAGAAAAATTATCTTGAGGCCTGGACAGCACACACACACACATAGCTTGGAAGTGTTTGCACACCGTAGTTCCAAATACATTTTCACATTGAAGATTAATTCACCAGAGCCTTTCTAAATTGCCGTGTATGCATTTCTGTGTGGCAGAGGAGGGAGAAGAACAGAGGTAAATCTTTTAAAGCAGGCAATGGGGGTCAGAGATAGAACTTGTCTTACTAGGCGCTGACTCAATGTACCATAGCATGGGACAAATTGATCTTTGCAGCATGTGGTTAGCTTACAACATCATCTCAGGTTACTGGCTTGATGCCTTAAAAAAACAAACAGGGGAAGCAGAGGGACACAGTAACATACGCCACCCTGCTGTGCTTGTAACACGCACAGGAACATGTATCTGAATATTTGCATATAGTCCCCTGTGTTCCTTAGGCATAAAAATGCAAAGGAAATTATATACTTCCACTGTGATCTTTTCACTAGTGTGCACTGGTAAATTCTATCCATGTACAACAGGGGCCCGTTGGCTGTTTGGTTTAATTTGAAACGCCTATTTCTTTACATACAGCCTGTGACTGCTTTCCTGCTACAATGACAGAGTTGAATAGTTGCAACAAAGACTAGAAAGGTTGAGATATTTACTGTCTGGTTTTTTACAGAAAAGGGTTGCCAACCCCTAGTCTGGAAGTGAAAATACATCATGTCACTGCTACCAAAAGACCTTTCATGATGTGGAAGCAAAAGATCTTCAGAATTACTTGTTTCCTTAGAGTTATTACAACCAGAACAATTTAGGGCCAAATAAAGCAAAGAACTAAGGAAAAGAAGTAAATTAAGAGAAAAAAAAATTCAAATTTCAAAAAATGAAAAGATGGGTTCCCAAATAGACTATACCCCCTGTCATTTGTCAGGCTGATTTCCATTTTCTTTTGCGTTAGCCCATGCAGCGAGAATATTTTCAGCCATAACAATCTTTTCTTTTAATATCCATTTCTCATCAATAAGAATTGGATGCTCATCACCTTGTTTAAGTCCCAAACTCTTGGGACTTAAACCTTGTTTAAGAGTTTGGGACTTAAACGAGGTTTTCGTTTTGTTTTGTTTTCCCCTTGAAATTAATTTTTAAAGCAAGGACTTTCACACCACTTCTTGGTTTGACTACTACATCATGTAAAGAGGGTGGGTTTAACATTCATTACAGTGAGGTTGATTTGCTGTTTCCACAGGACAGCGGAAAGGGTGAACCCTCATTGAGCTTGTTTCCTGAATTGTACTCTGCTTCAGATACTGGAGAACAGAAACTCTCTCTCAGAAACCCAAAAGTCAGGGTTTTGAGAACTGTTTTCTGATATTTTGTTTTGTTTTGTGTTTATCTAGGAGAGACTTTGAACAGCATTTGTAATTCTCGATTTTTTATTATTTGTACTGTAAGGTGTTGAATTTGAATTCTCTAAGTTCTCAGGAGTGAAAGGACAGAAGGAATGTAGCTGCAAGAGTATCTGAAGAGAAGGTCCAAAGATAACTCATTTTGAGCTGACACAAATTTGCTACTACTCAATCTCAATAGAGTTGTAGTACCCACCACAACTTAGATATGAAGAGACTGAAACTGAGAGGTGCTAAGTCATTTGAACAATGTTAGTAATTAGTTAATGGTATGGATAACTCATTACTCTCAACTAGTCATTCTCTTTCTTTTTCCTGCACCTGGACTATTAGGTACAGTGAATTCATCTGATCATTAAAATTCTACCTACCAACCTGACAAAATATTAGTTATAGCTCTTCTTTTCCTGTGAGTTATTAATTTAATGAAATGCTCAAACTAAATGTAAGCATCAGAGTATGGGTAATGACATAACCATATGAAAATAATTTCATATCTTTTAGAAATATAGTTCTTTCTGTAGTTTCACTTTTTTATATAGAGTATGTGACACCATGTCATTGTTGTTGTTAAGACACTTCTGTGGATTGTGTGGAAGTGGCTGATTTGATTAATGCCTTAAGACTTCTCAGAAAATTCAAATGACATAATCAAGTTTCTATTGTGTACTTTATATATTTCTCTCTTATTTACCTTTTTTCTCTTATTTCTGAATTGCTGTATTTTGTAACTCAATTTATGCAGGTTTACTGTGGATAAAGGCAAGAGAGTTCAGATTCTCCTAGATCTAATCTCTCATGAGGCAAATGCTAATACTGAATTATGTCCCAGTATAGACATTCTGACATTTAAAGCATATCACATTTTAACAAAATTTTTGAGAGAGATTTAACAGTCCCTCTCAAAAATATTCAAATATCTTTTTGCTTGTGATGGTGAGTTTTTCTTTCACTCGTAAAATATATTTAATTTTAGACCACAGTGATAGCTCCAGACCTCGGTGTAAGTCTCGTGCTGTTGATGTCACTAAGCCAGGGTTTTGAATCATTTTGAAAGGCTCTTCCGGGGGCCTTTTCATTTTAATTGTAATGAGGAAGCGGTTCATGGAAGAGGGTTTGCTGAGTTCCTGCTGGAGGAAACTTGTATCAGAAAGACATGAGCTGCCAACACTCTCCATGTGAACATTGGCATATTGGCTCCAGTCCTGGGAGCAGGAAGGGTGTTAGAATTCTGAGGCCAGCTGCAAACTCCCGAGGCCAGTGGTGGCCCTCTCTGATTTGGCAGGGTGGGAGGTGGTAGCAAAACTATCTGACGGTATTTGGGCAAGAGATTATTGGCTGCTGGTCTGTGACTGGTTTTAATCTCGGTGCCAACCTCAATCAACTGGCGGGGACTGCCTCTGTGCTGGGTTAAGAGAGAAACTGACGATGTACCTTGGTTCCTGGGAGTTCCTGTAAATGAACTGTGAGGTCTTTCCTCCAGGAAATAGCAGCATGTGTTTGTCATTTCCTGTCTCCTAATCCAAATGTTGTAAAGGCCACAGAAAGCATTCCACCCGCACCTCTAGTAACTAAACACATTTGTTTTACTATTTTATAATGAAAGTAGTTCATCATTGAGGAGGGCTATTCTCATTAACTATGAATACTATTTAAGCATGTTGATCATAAATAATCCATTTCCAGAGAGGAAGAAAAAATATGGCTTTATTTCTTAATTATTAAAAAAAGATATCAGAATTTACAGGTCATCGTTAAGAACCCCGGTCTTCATTTAACCATAAATGTTAGGATACTGGTTTATTAAGGAGAAACTAATATTTTCCTGGATTATTATTTTAAAGTTTTAATGTTTTATTTAGTCTTAAGTAGACAAATTTTGAGACATCGAAGGTTAAACAATTTAATTAAAATTAAACTATTTGCTCCATTTTACTTGAAAAATTATAAGAATAAATCAATATTTGCTTGCTTGGTTTTTTTTTTTGTTTTTTTTTTTTTTTTTTTTCTGCTTATCTGGATGATAACAAAACACAAGTCAGTTAGAAAAGATTTCCCTAATAGATGATTCCTTTATCCAAAGTTTCTCCCTCATTATCACACACATACACACACACACACATTTTCTCACACAGCTTTAGTTTGTCATCAATAAGAGTTCTTTTCAAAGAATTTCTTTAAAAATAAACCAACAAATGAAAATCCTATGCATAATAAAACTGCACTTTTTAAAAATGATTAAAATCGTATGTAGCCATGCCATGAAATTAAGCAAGAATTTTTGATGAATAGATCTCATAAGCCAGATCTGCCTATTCCTCAAAAACTGTGCTTCAATGCCTTTCTAGAACGATCAATAAACAGGTAGCTATACTTGATACAGTCATACTTTACTTATTTATAGGAGAAAAGTATGTAACTTCAATGATTTCAATCTAAGACTCATTCAGAAGCAATTCAGAAAGGGCTGTAAAGCCTGAAACAGCTATCACTAAAGCCCCTGCCGATCACTCTGAGCTTCAATCAATGTCTTATTTATCTTTATGGACCAAATGTCCAGAAGGAATATAATGATGAGGGGAGGTGTTCTGTACACCTGTGCTGTCTGATATGGGAGTCACTAGCCACATGTGGTTATCGAGCACTTGAAATATAGCAAGTGCAACTGAGAAACTGAATTTGAAATCTTATTTTATTTTACTTAGTTTACATTTAAGTTTAAATAGCCACATGAGGCTAGTAGCTACTACATTTTTAGTGAAGGTAAGCCTGCCAATAGCCTCAAGTTACAATTAACAGTTTGACAATAGTGAATTTGAATAAAAACTATATAAAGCAAACTCAAGAAGCACAGCAGTTCAGGGACATGTGAGTAGGGAAATTAGGTATAACCCCTATGATCTCTGCGGGTGTCACAGGAAACAAGAAGTGATTTTTAACGGTAATTTTCAAAGTTAAGAAATCGAATTTCATGTCACACTCTGATCATAATTATTTCAGGCCAAGAAAATCCATCTAATTGTCCCCAAATACAATAACATGTAAAAGACAACTTTTCTTACCTGCCATCACTCCATAGGTTGATGGCTGGTTTCCATAATGACAGGAAGGAACAGAATAATGAAGTCCCGTTGCTGTGTTTCCCAACGTTGTCACCAAGAAATGCGTGCACAAACATTTAGGAGTTTGGATCAAAGACAAAATAGATGGGACTGGTAAGAAAATGTATAAGGATTCAAGATACATTCATTTTATTTCAAAAATACACATTTATGTGGTTCTTAAAGTTATATACCAATATTTTTTCTCATTTTGGGTAAGTTCTCTGATGAATAGGTTAAAACTAGGGGGGATCAAAGTTTGTCTCATGTAATGAGATAATAAATCATCAAAACGAACTTCATTAATTATCCTGTGCTCTGTGCTGTGGCGACGAGTGCCTCATGAAGGGGTGACTGAGCAATTTGGACCTTGGTTTTTTGGGAGTTGTAGAATTCTTGTAGGTTCTCTTCAATGCAAACATTGCAACTCGCCGACTAGAAGAACAGTCCTTTAAAATTCTTGTGTTGCATGATATTATAAAGCAGTCTGTATGAATGAATACAGAAACTATCTCTTGAACAGTGTACTTTTGCTTATTTGTCTGATGAATTTGTTTCATCAAAGTGGAAATGGCAGAGCAACTAGCCTTTTATTAGATACAATCATAAAAATCTCACCAATTCAGAGTGCTATTAAAAACCCGTAACAATATATGATCTATTTATTTTGATGTTGAAACCATGAGGTTGTAAGTTGTCTGCATACACACAATTGATACAACCATTCTAATGATAAAGCTGGTCAAAAAATAAGTTCATTCATTGGGTGACTTAACATCCATAAAGCCATATATAAACATAACTATTCATAAATGGTTGTATGCTTCAGGAAATCAATGTGTATTTTGAAAGTAAATTGGAATTATTAGACTTATAAGTTTTAAACACAAATCATCAAGTTGAAAGGGAGTGCAAAATATTGACAATAAAACCACTGGTCAATATTTCCTTATATATTTTATTTTCTCAATTTTTTCCTTCATATTCTGAATATATTGGTTAGATTTCATAAACATAACTATCTTCTTTAATAAATGAGATGTTATAAAGTACTGTTAGAATCCTTTGAGAATAACGACATACAATCTAGTGATTAAAGACATGACTTCATAAAGTAAAACATATTACTTTAAAATAGAGAAAAATGTTTAATTTTTTAAAATCTGTATGCATTTTTATTTTATAACTAATAAGTCAAAAGAACTAAAGTCAGTTTGCAATATAATGATTACATATAAAAGTCTTACTGTGCATTCCAAAATTAAACAAATTATCATAAAGCACATTTAATACTCAAGTGTTCCCATTTAAGTCAGTGTTTCTATAATAGTTCCTTAGATAATTAGATGTATATGATTAAAATTTCATTAAAATTTCATTAAAATATTATAAATCAATGCTATTATTTAAAACATTTGTAGGTCACTTTTATTAATTATAATTCTTTTTAATTTTAAGGCTTAAATAATGTTTGCCTTTCAGATTTTAGGAAGTTAACTACAGGATAGGCGAATTTACTAAATAAATTGTTACTTATTTTTAAGTAAATAAATGGCGTTTTGAGCATAAAATTAGATTTTACTAGATTATTACCTCAATTCTGAATTTTATTTTCATGCTGGCCAAATTATCTTCAAACACAGAAATAATGTATTATTGTCATTATCCTCAATCTACAGGATGACCTACTGTTTAAAATATATGATTAGCTATGTGTTAATTGCTTAGATTTATTCATAGCATATATTTTTGATAAAAACTCTTTATTATCTTTTCCAAAAATTATGCTGGAGAATACTTCCTATATTACCCTTTATATGAAATTATAGAAATCTTTGGTGGATTTCCATAATTTAATTTAAAAGGTAATATTGAAAAATCTCTACATTAAATGATTTTACCAAAGTCTAAATATCTGACCTCTAGATTCTTTAAAATCCAGAAGATTGGTGCCAAACTTACACATATATTTAGAAAGTGCTTAATAATAATAAAAGATAGAGCTTAAATCCTTCAAATCAGAATATAAATGTATCCACTCTAATTTTGATTTCTAAATGTATATAATTTCATTCCTAAATATGAGGCAGGTTGCATTTAAAACAAATGGAATGTAAATATTATATTGCTATTCAATGGAAGAAATTTACTCAATTCAAGTCTTTGTCCATTTGTAAATCAACTTTAATACACTTTTTTACTGCATAAAGAATGAATACATTGGCAAAACATACGTATTTAGCTGATTATGTTGAGCCTTTGAATTCCTAAGTTTAATTTTTGTTTTAAAACGTTGTATGAGACAAATGTTAAAACATGGTTATAAGTGAAGTAAGTCTCTTCAGAATGCAATCTTGAGAAAATTTACCTTAGTTAATGGGCTTTAAATGCCATGTTATTTGTGGCTATAATTTCTGTATCTTATGCTCAAAATATGTTAAATAAAACTCAATTATTTTATTCTATGAAATCCATTGTTGTTGATATTTGGATTTTTCTGTTGTGTTTAATATAAGGTTTACAGCTGTTTTTAGATAGTAGTAAATGTAATTTAACAACCAAATAAATCTTTAAGATAAAGAAGTAGCACCTTTTAAACATTACGTTATTTTATAATATTCATCTCATTTGCTCCTTATTCTATAAATATTTCCATTAAATGGCTTTTAGATTTAAAATGTCCAAGTTCACTCTTTCCTTATGTAGAAAACAGATTTTCCTGCTTATAACAAAGCCAAGAACGATTTAAATGACTATACTTACTAATATTTCTTTAAAAAATCTTTGGCATGTTGACTTTTTAGATATGCTTAATACTTACTTCACTTAAGACAAATTAAATTGGAGGGGTAAAATGAAAGAAGCAAAAAGATTTTTAACTACCAAGATTCAAAGCATTCATTCTGAAATCTTTAGGCCCCGCCAGCTGTAAACTGTCATAGGACTCAGTACCTGTAGACATCACATTGGTGGCATGGTTGGAGACTGGTAGACACTCGGCAGCACTGTGATGCATTATCAGAGGCAGAGTTGCAGAGGCGTCAGAATTCAGGGGTATAAAGGTATCAGCCGAAGTAAAAGCTTGGCAACTCATTCCCACAAAAGAGTAGAAAAATAAGGAGAACCGCTGCTCCCCAAATCAGAGTTTTATTATATTACTGTCTCAAAGGGCCAATTCAATTCTCACTACCTGCATATATACATCAGGAAGGCTCTGAGGCACCAGGAGGGTGCGCGCTAGTATTTATATTGCAAGGAAATCCCTTTATACATGTTAATAGTCTTTTCCCAGGAGTATTGCTTTATCAATCCGAACCGTCTTCCTTTTTTACCCAAACATAATCCATGGCAGAAAAGGAAGCTGATTCTGGGGTATAAATGGAGGGGAAGGGAGAAATCTGAAACCTTATTTGACAACTTCAGTAGTTCAGACCTTTTAGAGAGGAATCAACAACTTTGAAAACGTGTCCCTCAAAAAAAAAAATGCCACTGTAAACTGAAAAATAGTAGGTGTCTTTTTGCTACTAACACGATTGCGAATGTATAAATATGAGATGTTTTTAAACAACTTCTCATTAAATCTGTGATATAACATGAAACAAAGTGCACACTATTATACATAACTTTAAGAAACTGAATATTTAAGATTATATTGAGAGAAGCGTATAAGACTAAATATGAGAAAATATGTTGTCAATTACTGATTCATACTCAACAATGCACAGCTTTTACAATGAGATCACTTGGACTCGGGAAGGGGAACATCACACACCGGGGCCTATTATGGGGAGGGGGAGGGGAGAGGGATTGCACTGGGAGTTATACCTGATGTAAATGACGAGTTGATGGGTGCTGACGAGTTGATGGGTGCAGCACACCAACATGGCACAAGTATACATATGTAACAAACCTGCACGTTGTGCACATGTACTCTAGAACTTAAAGTATAAAAACAAACAAACAAACAAAAAACGATGACAACCAATATATGTTTTACTATATTAGAATTGGAAAATGGAAAAAAATTGGATAAAATATAGTAATGATAGGTTGTTGCAAAAGTGATTACATTAATGGCAAGAACCGCAATCACTATTACACCAAAGTTAAATACAAATAAGATATGGGTAATTGTATCTTTACCTCGATTTCAATTTACTCATCAAGAACCCAATATTTAGTAAGCTGTAACTAGATGCTGACAGTATTCTAGGTATTTATACAGTTATGTCATGCAAATCTCACAACATCTATGTGAGTTATGTACCTTGCCATTCTCACTAAGCTAGACTCTGCCAGAGGCTGAGATCTTGGTGGTTCCTCCACAAAGCCTGAGATAACCATGGTAGTTGCTAACTAGATGCAAACTTCTCACACAAAATATATTGACTTTATATGAGAATAAAAAAAAATACGCTACAGCCAACTATTTCAAAGATAAATATCAGCATCAAAATTTTACAAATTATGAGTATATAATGAGTAAATAAAGTACTATTTATGTATTGTATGTTAAGGTAATATAGCAAATAGAAGTAATTGAACAGGAATAGATATTATTGATGTGAGTAGACACTAATTTTGTACTATGGAATATTTTAAGATAATTTGGAATTGGTTGCTTTGTGTCAAATTTAACATTAATATTGATATGACATTTTCAAAAAATTGAACACTTTATCAGTAAGTAGCTGGTATTTTGAAGGAAAATATATAAAAGCTTGCCCAAATCATTAGATATGGAATGAAGATATTTATTCTAAAAATGACATTTTTTTCATTCCGAATTCTATATCTTTGAAGCTCTATTAGTCTTTTCTAATGAGAGAAAGTTTCAAGTAATCAAAAGCATTATTGAACCCTTGCAGAAATCTGATCGTTTTCAGACTTCACATATACAAAAAAGTGATTCTCAGTATTCTATTTGGAGTTTCTGTTAAGAAAATTAAATAAAATATGTTTATTGGGTATCATGTATGTTAAAAATTAAATAATATTTATAGAAAATAGATTTTGAAAATGTCCCTTAATAATTTTACTATTGTTATATAGAGTCATTGGAATATGTTGTTTATGTATGTTGTTTATGTTTGTGAAAAATATACTTTATGAAGTATACTGAAGATACTTTATGAAGTAGCATAAAATCTGCCTAGCAAACAATATAAAAATTTCCCAGTTATTTACCATGATATCTAAAAATTTTTAAATTGCAATCTTAGAATTTCTTCCATAATGATTTTTAAAAATTAAACACCTGTTCTGTTAAAATGAGGTAAAGTCAGGAAATAAATGTTTCCATTACAGTCTTCTACTATATAATATGTCCATAGGATTACCTGGAATGTACCCCTTTAAGATAGATTCTTAAAAGTAGAAATACTAAGCTTAAGTCTTACAAACTTTTAACATCTTGAAAACATTACTAACTTGCATTTTCGAATAATTAATTATATTATGAATTTGATGTAAAATATCAGGAATAAGTCAAGCAAAAAAGAATTGCTTATTATCAGGAGACTCGGGAGTTCCTTGGCACTCACAGAAAAGAAGGAAGTCAGGCCACAGAGAGAGACTGAATAGAAAATGAGGGCACACCTCTCTGACTCTCCTAATTGCTTTTATTTATTTATTTATTTATTTATTTGTCTCTCACTTTTTTCCTTCTCTATGGAATAGCTTATGCTGATTCTCCATCCACGATCACCTCAACAATCTCCAGATCACGCCTTAAACTTCAAGGAGACAAAGAGACTCTCTTGTAGCTTCTCAGTTGACATTTATGAGATTTTTTTTTTTTTTTTTTTTTTGAGAGTCTCACTCTGTCACCCAGGCTGGAGTGCCATGGCGTGATCTTGGCTCACCGCAACCTCTGCCTCCCGTGTTCAAGAGATTCTTCAGCCTCCCAAGTAGTTGGGATTACAGGCGCTTGCCACCACACCTGGCTAATTTTTGTATTTTTTGTGGAGATGGGGTTTCACCATGTTGGCCAGACTGGTCTTGAACTCCTGACCTCAAATGATCCACCCACCTCGGCCTCCCAAAGTACTGGGATTACAGATGTGAGCCACTGCGCTGGGCTGAGAGAAATATTCTTATTGGCTATGACTTTTTGGTAAGTTCCAGAAGTATAAAGGTGGTTCCCAGTGGTCCACACTTATGAATGGGGAGGATTGTCCTGGATACATTCAGATGTTTGTAGACAAGGAGGGATAGAGCATTGTCTTGGAAGACACCCTTAAAATATGACTGATGCTCTTATACCATCTTATACTAGCATTAGTGGTGCAAAATTCACAATTGTCTGGCATTCTCATTGTTAGTAATAAAGTGTAAATACATATGCCTTATTAATCTGATACGATAATATTTTAATCTGAATTTTTAATTGCTAATATGCTCTGTTTTCATATTTATATTTGCTACCTGTATTTATCATTTCGTTAATTAACAGATTCTATAATTTTTCCTTTTATTTAAAGGCCATTCAGTTTTATTATCCATTTGTGTCTTTTACAAATACACCAAAAATTTTAATTTTCATTGTTTTGATCATTGTATGATTAAAATTTTCTTAATGTCTCATCTTCTAAATTTATGCTGGACCTTGGTATACATAGTATTTTATGTAAGAGCTAAACATTTAGTTCATTTTTTGCATGCATTTTTAATGATTTCAGACTTTAAAATTCTACCTTATCCAAAGGCTTTTTTATTTATTTTTACTTTTGTTTTGTTATTTTGGCACCTTAAGAAATTTTCCATTGACATTTTAAGCTGCCATATTCAGTATGTTTCTAGAGCTCTTTTATAATCACTTACATAATAACGCAAATTGTAGCTCAATTTGAAAACTACCAGATAAATAAGAAGAAAATTCTGCTTCAATCTAAGTTGATAAAAGAAAATATGCAGAAGAGAAGTCTTCACCAGGTGTTTTTAGCCTGATTCATTCACTGTATTTCCTCTTAAATTAAGCAAAGGATTGATTTTTTTAAATACTCTGAGTTTCCAAAAAAAAATCACATTTTGAGAAAAATCTATATAACCCCAGAAAAAATCCTATGTCATTCTAATATAAAGACACGTGCACACTTACGTGTATTACGTGTATTGCTATTCACAATAGCAAAGACTTGGAACCAACCCACATGTCCATCAATGATAGACTGGATGAAGAACATGTGGCACATATACACCAGGGAATACTATGCAGCCATAAAAATGAATGAGTTCATGTCCTTTGTAGGGACACGGATGAAACCGGAAACCATCATTCTCAGCAAACTAACAAACAGAAATCCAAACACCGCATGCTCTCACTCATAAGTGGGAGGTGAACAATGAGAACACGTGGACACAGGGAGGGAAACCTCATATACTGAGGTCTGTCAGGGGGTGGGGGCTAGGGGAGGGAAGGCATTAGGAGAAATACCTAAAGTAGATGACGGGTTGATGGGTGCAGCAAATCACCATGGCACGTGTATATCTATGTAACAAACCTGCACATCCTGCACATGTATCCCAGAACTTAAAGTATAATTTAAAAAAAAAAAAAAAAAAGGCTGGGCGCAGTGGCTCACACCTGTAATCCCAGCAGTTTGGGAGACTGAGGCGGGCGGATCACCTGAGGTCACGAGTTCCAGACCAGTCTGGTCAACATGGCAAAACCCCGTCTCTACTAAAAATACAAAAATTAGCCAGGTGTGGTGGTGGGCGCCTGTAATCCCAGCTACTTGGGAGGCTGAGGCAGGGAGAATCGCTTGAACTCGGGAGGCAGAGGCTGCAGTGAGCCAAAGTCGCGCCAGCCTTGGTGACAGAGCAAGACTCTGATAAAGTCTCTGATAAAGTCTGATAAAGTCTCAAAAAAAAAAAGAAAAAGAAAAAGAAAAAGAAAAAAGAAAAATATATAACCTCAGAAACAAATAATATTCAAATCTAATTATCTCTGGGTTATATATAAAATTAAAACCTCTTTTCCTCTTTTTATTTTTCATATTTATGTTTTCTAATTTTTCTACTTTTTTTTGAGTTCAGAAGCAGTATATATATATTCAACATGGAGAGAGATTCTGTAATTAAACTGTCTGGCTATAAATCCAAGCTTTATATCTTAGTAGCTACA